AGACGGAGTGAAACACGGACAAATGCGTTTCATTCATTCGTTCATAACCACTCATACCCCACTCCACCGCCGACACAGTTTTGCGTTGGGCCCCAGAAGTCTAGGTTTCGACAGTCATCAGCATCGTAAATCCTCTAAAGTTGTGAAGTGCCCCTCGAGCTACTTTTCACGTACATGTATGAAAGTCAGTAGACATCACACATGTAATACATCAATACTTACAAAAAAGTCTCTTGGACCAAAATCCGAAACGCAACAGGAAAGCAGTGATTTAGAATTTTTCTCTGCAAATTTTGTGTCATTTTGTCCTGGCCTGAACACATCTAAAGGCCAATATCCAATTATTAACATAGCGCCACCTGCTGGCAACAGGAAATGACTTGTTTTACACTAACTTAAACATGCAATGTCCGATATGCCCCAAATTTCACATGTTCGGTAAGAGTCCTGGCCTGAAGACATTTACATGACAACATGAAGTTATAGTCATAGCGCCACCTGTTGGCAAAAGGAAATGTCATGTTTACACTAACTAAAGCATGCACTGTCCAATCTGCCTTACATTTCTTGTTCGATAAGAGTCCTGGCCTGAAGACATCTAAAGGCCAATATTCAGTTATAATCATAGCGCCACCTGCGGGCAACAGGATATGTCATGTTTTACACATGCAATATCCAATCTGCACCAAACTTCACCTGTTTCCCATCAACCATCCGAATCGTCTCTCTCCTCAGCAGCACAGATTCCTCCTTGAGTTCACATGGAAAGGACATAAGACACCTTTTCTCTTTCCATTTAAATCTTGAATGACATTTATTGGAATCAGATTAGCAGGCTTGCATTTCCATATCTAAGTGAATTGCACTGAATAGCATGAAAATGTCATGAAGAGTTACTTGTTGTCTTCTTTGAGACGTCTGGACCTGCTCGGATGTGTGTGCTGGTTGTTTTCAGCCACAGTGGGGCAGTGTGGGGTTGTGGGATCGGGCATAGGACTCAATCAATGAAACTATAATGCAGCAGCTTCTGTGGAATTTGGCCATAATGTTGTCAGATGAATATTAAGCCAGCAGTTCATTGATTTAATTTCGAAAGACAGCACATATTTGTCCATACACACCAAAATAGTCAGTGCTGTGTATGATTTTGAATTGTTATTGCTACAAATAGCAGTTATGAGAAGAGAAGTTTCTCAGTTTTATTTCATTTATTTATTGGTCTCCTCAGAGAAATGTTGCCTTGGGAAACAAGGTTGCTGTTACATATACGCACTCAACATATACTTTAACATTCGCATACCCACAAATACCACAGCTCTTTACTCAGTAACTTTGTTAATAATGACACACCAGAAAGTTTTCTTATTCTTCCCAGTGGCATTAAATCCTACGCCGTATGTTAGATGTGGTCAGTTTTTCTACCCTGCTGAACCAGCTCTTCCTCAAATATATCGAGGAAGTTTTTTAAGACTCCCTGCAGCAAAGTGTAAAATTATGCAATGTGATGCGGTGCTTGTGCTTGTCTTTAACAATGATGTAACATGGATTTAGACAGGCATGAATCTGAAGACAGCTGCCAAAATGTTTTTTTTTTTCATATTGTAGTTTCATATAGAATGACTCATTAAGTGTGCTTTCCATTTATTCAGGTAAGTTGCCTCAGATCATCTGAAAGTCATAAAACCTTTAGAGCTTTCAATGAATATTTTGACCATCATGGGATGGGGAAACATACACATGACTTCAACGTGGCATTAAACATGCATTAAAAAAGGAATTGAATTCAGATTATTGTAATCAGAACAGTTTGTTGTTCTACTTAGTGTGATGTTTTTCTTTCCTAACAAGTTTTGACATTTCCTGTTTTACACTATTT